GTGGTCAAAGACTTCCAGAGGGAGAAGAGTAATAACCCCCGTCAATACTCAGGCTGGTCAAGGATGTGTTCGGCTACGGAGGGTCTTATTAATCACCAAGTAGCCGTTGCATGTTCGCCTACTTTGTGGCCTGACATTTAACTACCTATCCGTGATTCCTGCTGAGTAACACGGAGCTCGTTCATTATAAAACGGGAGTTGCCTATTATCGAGCCTCATGGGTTGTAAAAAAAGAATTCTTAGGGAAGGAATCGGATTGTACTCGCAACTTTTCCAGTTTGTGACACCAACCCTTACACAGACGAAATATTATTTACCGGCGCTATTGGGGCACTCATCGATTCCGTTACGGGACATACTCACCCGGTTGTGTCTTGGAGCTCTCCCCCTCTCTCTCTCTCGAGGCCTGTCAGCACTCGCACAATAACTATTATCCTATGTTGAATAGCGTCACTGACAAAGACAATGGGGGCTGGAATGGTCAGTTCTGGCCTATTTGCCGTCATCAGCCAACCATTCCCTACTTCATGTGTTGAAATCCATGAGGCTCGAACCCGTGTGAAGCCTGAAGCCTTAATCATATTTATACACGGGTCGTACACAATGTCCCAAGCAGATGCCACTTCGTCTGTTGAACCAATAAACCCATGACGCCGTTAGTACTTCTATATGTTTTATGATTACTCCTTCGCTTTATCTGCCGCACCGTCTAGATTGGCGACTACCCTCTCTTCCTTCGCCGCCTCCAGTCTGCACCCTCCGGTTTCTACTTGGCCTCAGAGAGTCCCGTACTCAATATTTCCCGCGGTGGACAGTACGAACCCGCCCCTCTCTCGCCTGCCACCCTCCCTCCGCAACGTGTGAACGTTAAGTGTCGGTCAAATTACTCGCGTCAGTTGGCCGCAGCCCAACTCATCGCTCAACGTTTTGCCAGCGCCCTTCCCGACTACGACTCCGTGCTGCGCAGAGAGCGCCGGTCCTGCAACTATGAAAAACCCGCCGCCTGCTGTTTAGCCACCCTCGTACCTTCGCCGGCCTTTGTGGAACATTTTCAGACCATTGCCTTCACCAAACTCTCTCCCCTTGACTCTGCCTCATCCCTCCCCCTGCACGATGAGCTGCGCTCAGTCGCCCAACACAGCTGTGCATTCAGGGGCC